GATCCGAACAAGGCCGCGCGTCCCCGCGCAACCCGCTACGGGCCTCCGGCCTCCCCCTCCGGCTCCCTCCCCACCCCGCGGGGCAAGGGGGGGGCACCGGAGCCGCGGGGGAGGAGGGGATGGGGGCCACTCACTTGTCCTTCTCGGTGCCGAAGATGGAGGCCAGGTACTCCGCCATCTCCCACCGCCCGCCCTGCCCGCCCGCCGCACCGCCCCGGCGCCGCTGCCGCGTCACAGCGGCCGCGCCGGAAACGCCGCTCTGAGGGGAGGGGGAGGCGGGGCGCGCGCAGGGGCGGTGGCGGGGACGGACTCGGAAGGTCCTGGGTTCGAGTCCCGCCCGCGCCGGGGTCGCTGAGGGGACGGGGTTGTGGTTGTCCTGGGGGTCGTGACAGTGATGGAATAAAGGATCTGCTCCAGGGAGGGGGAAGGTGCACCTTGAAGGGGTTTAAATAAAAAACGCGAAGGTGTTTATGTAAAAAAAGTTGAATAAAGCTGCAAAGTAAAACTTTCGTTAAAACTAGAGTGGAGGGTAGGACCAAATTCTTTCTCATTATTTTTTTGTGCAAGGTAGGACTAAATTCTGTCTGATAATTTTTTGTGCAGAGTAGGACCAAACTCTTTCTGATAATTTTTTTGTGCAGGGTGGGACCAAATTCTTTATGATATTTTTAGTGCAGGGTAGGACCAAACTCTTTCTGATTTTTTTTTTTTTTTGGTGGAGGGTAGGACCAAATTCTTTCTTTCTGTTCATTTTTTTTTAAGGAAGCCTTGTGGAATTATGAGCCATAAGCTGCGAGTTTGAACCCAGTGAATTGAGAATTTTTTTAAGGGAATTTTTTTTAACAGAATAGCAATGAACGTGGAAAATTCCAATACTATACATCAACCTTTTTTAATGGAACAAATTCCACTTGCAACAGGGATGATGCTCCAGTTTTAAAATCACGTCATGGAAGAAACTTACTTGCTTTGCTCAAGACTGAGAGCTCAGTGTGTTACAAGTAAAATTCATCCCCTAGATATTTTAGAATTCCATGAAGCATTACCCAATATGCTTTGTAGTGCCACAACCCCATTTGAAGTCCACAGGAATATTCATAGAATCACAGGATGGTTTATTTTGGAAGGGACATTAAAGATCATCCAGTTCCAACCCCCTGCTGTGGGCAGGGACACCTTCCACTATCCCAGGCTGCTCCAAGGCACATCCAGCCTTACACCTCCTGTAATTCCTCATTTGGATTGAGCTGATTCAAGGATGCTGTGTCCTGTCACAGGACAGGGACAGTCCTCTGGGCACTGCTCTATGTCCTTCCATGCTATTTCTATATGTTCTCTTTTGGGATGCAAGGTTCACTCACCTGCTCCCTACTACTTCCAACCAACTTGTGCTGATTTTTGGTTTAGTGTTTTTGTCAAAGCCTTCAGGTAAAATATGTCAAAATGTATTTTTCCTGAGGAATCAAAAGATACTTTTCCTTAGGATTTAAAATATGTTTTCAATATTTGAAGTGCACTGGGTTCTCAGACCTTATCCTATGAAGACCCCATTCACTTTAGATTTCCCTTTGTGTGGTATATTGCTGAGAGTAAGAAGCATTTTCCAGAGAGTATCTTTAACTTAGGCCGTGTAAATCAGTTGTTGTGCTGAAGTCTGGCTGACCCTGAGATCCACGTGTCACAGACAAGTAACTTGACCTGGAGATGCCATCAGAAAACAAACCAGCTGTTCCCATGTTGGAAATACGCCCTTGCACGTGACAAGCAGAAATCTTACGATACCACAAACCCTCCTGTTTTGCTCTGCCTTCTTATAAGGCCCAGTGTCATCACTGGATATCAAGTGGTGAGAACAAAATGGTGCTGCACAGATTTGGTGATAAAGAGGTGAGAGAAAAAATAAGGAGGGAAGCAGCCAGTTTTAAGAGAAGCAGAGCAAGGAGGAAAGGTGAAGGAAAAAAAAATGAAACAAAAGACAGCAGTGCTTGGATATAGAAAAAGGAGTGAAGCAAGCACAGAAACACATCCAGGGGGGTCAGTACATAAAGTACTTAGTGCATTCACTGGAAAATAGCACTTTCTTGTTGCCAGTGCCCAGAACTCTGCATTAATTAAAGAATTACCTGGAGTTCCAGGCCAGTGCACAGGACTTGGTTTCTCAGGTTAAAGGGATTTTTCTAGCAGTGCATATGAAGGGATAATTAGTGACCCACAGCCAGCAAACCCTTTGTACAATTTTGCCAGCTCTCTGCTTGATACCTCTTGGAACACGGCACGACCTTGAGGAAAGAGAACCAATTTAAGATGTAAAGTCAAAAAATTAATCTGAGAAGGCAGCTCGTGTACATTAGAGCAGAGCTGTAGCTGGTAATCTCATCTAATCTACTTCCATGCCTAGACTTCAGTAATCACCATGGTTATATAAGCAGATCTTATCAAAGTTCCTTAATTATAGCAACCCCTGTAAATGCAACACAGCACAGCATGAAGGACTCTGCCACCAAGCACAGGGGGACAGACCCTCTCTGAGGCCTCCAGGTCACTCACAGCCAAGCACTGATCACCGCCAGGGGTGTGAGGGCCCTGCTTGGATGCTGTGGGTGGAGGTAAATTGAACTATTCTGGTATGAGGGGCAGACATTGGGGTGGGATGAATGGCAGGGAAGAGGAGAAGAAATGCTGAGTCAGTTAGCACAGACTGCTGGGCACAGTTGGCAGATTTGCGCGTCTTCGGGAAACTTTTCCTTGGAGAGTTTTTGAGACCCTGATTAGGAACGCTGCTGATTTGTTAACTATTGCTGTTAGAGAGAGATTTACAATTGTAAACCAGGAAAAATTAATAAAGCTGCAGGGCTTTCAAGTTCAACACGAAGTGCTGCAGCACTTTGGTCCAGCAAGCTGCTGTGCTGTCTGGGGTCACCATGGTTATGGCGATTCCTTTTTATAAAAAGCCCTCTCTCCATACCCAGAGGGGCTTACAAGCTAGACAAAAGTGCCATCCTACTCCCTTTATGAAGGAGATATAGAAATCAGGTGATTTTCCCAGCATCAAGATGGACAGATGTTTGGAATCAGGATAAAAATTTAGAACAGCCTTGGTGGTTCAGACAGGCCTCTTTCCCCAGCCTTGAGATGTGCTGCCCCAGGGCTGTCCCTAATCCACCTCCCCACTGTTGCATGCCCCAAGGGCTGAAAGAATTGACTGGAAAGTAATCAAAAATCCATCTGACAAGCAAATCCAGCTGCTCCTTCGAGCAAAATTCCTCTCTGTGCTGTCCAAGGCAGTTTGTATGGAGCATTTTGTGGGAGAAGCTGATGTCTTTGGACCTTTCTGAGTACTCTTGGAAAAAATCTCCAGGTATTGCCTGCTGCCCCCAGGTGCTTTGTGGCAGTCAGAGGACGAAGAGGACAACAAGGCAGTGAGAGTTTGGTGGAAACTTTTTGTTATATCTCTACTCCAAGGACTTGTCTGGTGCCCCTTGAGCCCATACAGGCTCTGTGCATGTGAGAGCAGCTTGCAGACCTGCTGTACCTGTCCCATAATTTTGTTTGTTTTCAGCCTGGCTCCAGCTGGCTCCATTTGGTTGTGGTTTCCTGGTGCAGCAGGAGCTTGGCTAACATGAGCTCAGCCCCAGTATAAGGGGCAGGTTTCCCTCCACCCCTCCCAGTGCCTCTTTTTTTCCATCTCTCATACTTGCCTGACTGCATTGTAAGCTCCTTGAACTGGCTCAAATGGCCAAACTGAATCATTTTATCTTGCAATCAGAATTTGCAAGGGGAAATGAAACTGCACTGCACAGATGGGAGCACAGGGTGAGAGGAGGGATGGAAATCAGGGAGGATAGAAGGAGGAAGACAGAAGGCTTCTCCCTTTCTGTAGCAGCAAAGTTGTTCAGCTCAAGCCTGTCATGGGACTGTACCCTCACAGTGGAGCTTTTTTATCAGCAGATATTAAATCTAAAAATAGGAGGTGTTTCTGCCAGTGAACCAGAGCAGGAATATCAGAGCAAGTTGTTGTAGTGGGGTGGGGGAACCTACTGCACATTCCATTTGCTGTCTGCAGTTGAAATCTGCTTACAGCTCCACATTCACAAAGACAGGGATCATGCCAGATTTATCCTGAAATATGTTTACAGAGCATGTTTTGTTTAGGAAATCAGCCCAGTCATGACAGCTTGAAGAAAGGCAAGGCACACTACACCTACAACAGGCTTCTTGCTGTTTCCCTGTGTCAGACAAACCTCCCCCAGCTCCAGGGAGTTCTCCTGCGCCAGGTGTGGGTAAGAAGTGCAGGTGAACAGGCTGTGGTACAGGTACTCAGCTACTCAATAGATGCTCTAAATCTTTCCTGCATCACTGTGCCCTGTGGCTTGGTAAAGAAGCAGCCTGACGTCCAGCGATGGACACCTCCTGACAGCAGACAGTGCTGCTCTCGGTTTGCTTTCCGTGACAGCCCCACGAAATAATCCCCTGGCTCCGGAGTGGATGCCCGGGTGAAAGCCACTGCTTTAGATGGATGCAGGAGCTCCCGTGAGCTTTCATTCCCTTTGCTGGGGCTCCCTCCGGTGGCACTCGGCTGGAAGGGCTCACCCGCCACAGCGCTACAAATCCTTGGCAGAAATTGAGCTGGGCATTATCCTGGGACACTTTTCCTGCCATGACCCTGCTGACGGCATGAGGCGCTCGGGATGGGCGTCCAGGGGCCGGCAGAGCCCAGTGCAGGGCGATAAGTGACCCCTGAACTCCAGAAGCAGGAGGGTTGCTTCAGTGATGTAGTTGGCACTTTTGGAGTCTGCATCTCCCTCTTCTGCAGTGTGGCCTCTCCCTAGTGCAGGTGCTGCTGCCCTGTCCCCACCTGGAACCCTCTGAGCAGCAGGGAGCCTCCAGAAATGGGGGATTTTATGCCCCTGTCACTCTTTCTGGCACATGAAACAAGGCACCAAGGATTGTGCTGCCTCTGTTCACCTCACTACGTAGATGCTGAGTGATGCCAGGGGGGACTGCTTTATGATTTTGGAGATGTGGAGATCCTGGGGTTGCTCCTTGGGGGACTCAGGTGTGGGATCCATTTTGGGGGAGAGAGGAGGGATAACTTGGGAAAAGCTACCTGGCCCTATACCGGCATGGCAGCCCTTAGGAAAACGTTACCAGAGCAACTCGAGTTGTGAGGTGACATTTCTGGGCAAACTCCTGGTGCAGAGAGAGAAGCAGGATGGTTACAGGG